GTTTCTCACGTGGACTCACATATTTACTGGGATACAAATGCGGTCAGGCCGAGACCAGAGAGGCGGCCAAAGTGTGCAGCAGCTGCATGGCGCGGTGTGCTGAAGGATGCCTGGCACCAGCAGCCCAGCACGTGTCTCGGGCATTGAGCTGGGTGTCATCAGGCCGAACAGACTTTGGGACCAGTGTCGTACCATGGATTTCATTTAGTTGGGTCTAGGGCGGCCCCAGGAGGACGACTGTGGGAATGACAGCATACTTAGGTTCTTACTTAGAGCGGTTTAGGAAGGCAGTGAAATTCAAATTTAATTTAGTAAGGCCCAGGAGTAACCAAATGAAATTATGGGACGGTTGTCTAACTTTGACTTCATTTGGTGAGGTCCAAGGGGGCGCAAACACAACTACAGGACCCGAAGCGTAGCCTGAACTTACTTACTGGACGCAAGGCAGCCAAATCCGACTATGTGATTCATATCTTTCATTTGGTGTTGTCTAGAGGGCCCTTGAAAATACCTTGAATTTCAGGCGCCAATGTGTGAGTACGAAACGCGTTGGATGCCTTGGATTCTCTTCAATTGTGTTTAAGAAACATCCCAAATACGACAGAGGCACGCGGTAGTGTAGTTGGTTGAGGCACTATACTACAAGCCCTAAGGTAGCATATTCGATTCCCGATGAGGTCACTGAATTTTTTTAATTTACTTAATCCTTCCAGTCGATTCAGTCTCTAACAGAAAAAGTGCCAGGAAGATTCCTGGGGGGGAGGGGGTTAAAGGGTGACCGATGCGTACGACTGACAACCTTACCGCCATCTGTGAGCCGATTGTCTAGAAGATGTGGGAGCCTCGACGTCTCACAACCCTATGGGCCTTCACGGCCTGGTACAGGGACAGCTTTACCGCTTTTACCTTTTACCCCAAATAGGACTATGGAAAGCGTAGTGTAGTTTGGATTTCATTTAGTGGAAGCCAGAGGTCACGAACAGCACCACGGGACCTGTAGCATAGCTTGGATTTAATGTAAAGGGGCCATGTGCTGCTACGGGACTGACAGCGTACCTTTAATTTCATTCAGTGCGGTTCCAAGTGGACCCAAACAGGACTAGGGAAGTGGTAGCATATGTAGCACGTAAGGTTGTGGGGTAAATATTAAAAGTAATAAAAAAGACTGAATATTCTGACTAAAGTTTCTTTTGTAATTTTGTCAGTTTATATATTATGTGATCCGTCGTAAAAGAAATGTACAGGTAAAGTTGTCCATGTGCTTAACCAGTTAAGCACTACGACATGAAGACGTATGGGGAAGTGGATGTATAGATCCATATTTTCTTGACCTAGGTTTTAGTTGGAGATGAGTAGTCAGCTTCACGCCCCGGCTGCTTTAACACCGGGAAAAGAGCCCCCAGTAACCATTGTACAGGAGGTTGGGTAGATCCCAGAGCCGGTCTGGGTGACTGCAGAAGCGAAAATTCTTCATCCTACCGGGACTCGATCTCCGACCGCTCGGTCGTCCAGCCCATAGCTAGTCGCTATACCGACTACTGTATCCCGGCTCCTCCTTAATCTTTCGTACTTGCAAATATCTCCCCCCAGCAGCTTGTTCTCAGACAACCCCAAATCCCTATTCAGTACGTATTTGCTTTCGTGCACTGCGCATCTGCAGAGAAAGTTCGCTGTGTGCCCGAGAGATCAGGGAATGAGTCACGCGGACCGCGAGAATTTCGTCAGTTGCAGCAAACACTTCAACAAATCCCACGCAAAGCACTGCAGTGATACAAAGGGTATAAACACTGATTACAATCCTCATTTGTACTACAGTATTCAGATAAGTGTTTGGCAATATTTCAAGGTTTTTTTTAAAAATTTTGTTGCAACAAGTTCATCACAATTAAGTGTATGCCATGAAACACGAAAAACTAACAGTGTCCCGAGGATTCCTCTTAGGTAGTTACTTTCAACAGGACCAGAGAGGTGTAAGCCTTCCGCAGCTGAAATACAAATGCTCTACAATTGGATTCTTCTGGCTTTACATGCGCATTAGCCTTGATGTTCATGTACATCGGGTGTAAGTTTACTGTTGCAAGGTTAACATTATTGCAGATGTCACACCGATTAGAGTTACGCATAATTTTCTTTATATTTTGTTAAACACGTACAGCATGGAAAACCGTATCTTTCATATAACTACAAAACGTTACGGTATTTATTCAACGAAACTAGCATTGCCTTCAAGAGAAGGCTTAACGGAAACGATTATTTTTATTTGGGTTTTCTCTGAAGTAAGATTTACGGATCTTAGAGAGATAGGATGGGATGGTATGTACGAGTACTTTATGACGGACGTTGCTGAGGACACCACACAGTTGCAGAATGCGGTGCGTAGTTTTTTGTCTGCAATGGAGCCAGAAGAAAGCGTAGCATTCGCCTCTCTTGTTTATTTCTACAACGGACGCATTTTGTGCGCTCGTGTGGCCCCAACCTAATACCTGGCAATATGAATCTTCAATACCTCGAAAACTAAAAATGTCATGAAGGCTAGAGATGGGATATCGTGTTAAGCGTAATCCTTCATATGGCGGACTTCAATACGAGTATTCAAACATTAGGATCTCACCTCCAAGGAAACACATGCGTCTGTTTCAGAAATAAGTCTGTTAGTGATGCTAAGGGAAAGAACCGCTGTTCGTTAGGAGAAACAAAAGAGCTGTCTAAATAAATTGTCGAAAATGTGCCATTTAATGATAAAGCAAGCGGTACAGACCGTTACCACTGTCATATAAATAAAAAAACACAATGAAGGCGGAGTAAGCACCTTCACGGTCTAGCCGTTTTACCCTTGGGGCTCATCTTCAGGCACTCAGTGGACACGATTCTGGGGAAGCCTGGAATGTGTTCGGAACAATTACGAAGAGAAAAATTTCGCCCGGCTAGAAAACGTCTAGCCTACAGCTCCTTTCTGTGCTGTCTGAATCTCTCTTGTTCTTATCCAGATCGAAGCAGAAAATCCTTGGGAATCAAGAGTCTATGAGACGGATAGCTCAGTAGACGTCGGCTTCCTCAATATCCTGTTTTACCGTCCAGAAAACCACGCGAGGTCCCGACACGTTTCTCTGTGGCGTTCTTGTTTACTTCTTCGCCCAACGGGACAGAAAATAATAAATGAAAACATATAGTGGGGTTAAAGTCGGCCGCCTACCCCCACCTCCCAGTTACACTTCCCTCTATCAACAGCCCTGACTCGCCTCCCTGCTTCAGAGGGGAACAGTTTACGTTGTTGTTTTTTGTAATCGTTAGTTATTAAGTATAATAAAGTATGTAAGATTTGAGGCTTTCACGGCGGTGACTATGAAGAAGGCAGTCTTCTGGGATTTGGCACCGCGTACATGTGGTGTTAACCGACGTTTCGGAGGAACGTAACGCCTCCATCTTCAGGGTAGAGGAAAAAATATAAGAAATCTGCAAGCGAAGAGACCGTGAGAACCGGTAAAAGCAGACCTGTCTGCTGTTCTCTTCGCTTGCAGATTTCTTATATTTTTTCTTCTACCCTGAAGATGGAGGCGATACGATCCTCCGAAACGTCGGTTAACACCACATATACACGGTGCCAAATCCCAGAAGACTGCTTTCTTTATAATAAAGTACTCTGTTTGTAGTAAACATTAAAATTAACAGACCATACGAGAGTATAAGTAACAACTGGTGGGAACTGAAGAAAGCACGCAGTCAACAGGCAACGACGGGTGCGGGAGAATCCCTGTTCTTTCTTTCCCTGATCCGAGGTTAAGCACGGAAATTATGAAGCGGAGTCTCTTTCAGAGGTTGGTAGTCGTTCAGCTGATCAAGCGATTAATCGCTGTTATGGAGCCCAAAAATTCATGACCACATTCTCTGTCCTCAACAGTTCATTCTGAAACATCCTACACATCCGGGAAGAGGTCTGTCGGATATCCAAACTTTCTAACTGTTCAGAATTACTGGATGTTTTCACTTTTTCCAGCGTCCGGAATTCTAAGAAATAGAAAACACAATGTTTCAGAAACTGAATCTGCTTCCGTCTTCAGGTGACGAAAGAAGACACCTACTCACTTGGGCCTCTTAGAAAGAGCTAACCTCAATTACTGGCCCAACTGAGTAGGTGTCTTCCTTCCTCACTTGAAGACGGAAACAGATGCAGTTTCCGAAACGTTTTGTTTTCTATTTCGTAGAATTTCGGACGATGGAAAAAGCAAAAAAAAGAAAAAAATCCAGTAATTCTGTGTTTTATCCACCATCGTCAGAACCCTTTATAATTTATTTCTGTTGTCTGTCTGTAGTACATCTGACGTTCTTGTACTGTCGCCTGTTGAACGTTAGAGTACTTAACATATTCTTGAGCTGAATAATGCATTTCGTGTAACTGCCCAACTTAGGGCCCCGCCATAGCTCAAGCGGTTAGTCGCTGGCTTCCCACCACGGCGGCCCGGGTTCGATCCCGGGGTCTGGTCAAATGGGATTTGTGGTGGACAAAGTGGCGCTGGGGCAGATTTTCTCAGAGTACTTCGGTTTCCCCTGCCAATCTTCATTCCACCAATTGCTCCACAGTCACCCTCATCTATCATCTGGGGTTGGTACAATAGGCCAGAAGGGGCCGTAGTACAAGGGACTTAGTCCCACCCCACTAGCAATAAAAAAAAACTGCCCAACTTACATTACCGCGTCCCTTCTTATTAATGTTGGCAATCAATACGATAGGTGTTGGAGGGTAGGAATGCCTTGTCCTTCTTCACCAATATTTTGTCCATACCGAACCTGAGGTCCGTCCACCCTCCTACCCAACTGATACTTTCTGTTTTCCCTGGGAGGAAACCGACGTAAATGCAAAGCTGAGTATTCATCATCTACAGTCAAGATCTGGAATAAGTGGAGCTTTACCGCCATGTCCACTATGATGCGATACTTGGACACATTTTACCATCGGACGGGAGAGGTGAGTGGGTGCTGCGGGGTGCAATATGGAGTCCTACTTGCAGTGAGAGTCCGACGCGCTGGGGTCCCCCGTGGCACCTTCCTGTGACGGGTGAATTCACGTGGTGGTGCTGCAGACTGCTGGCCATCCGGAGCTGAAACATAGAACACGTGCACAGTGTTTACTCTGCTGACAGCCACGGGAACACAGCCTGACTCTAATCCTTGTTTGTCCGAGGCTCCCGGAAACCACGGAAACTCAACATCACTTCCCAAGTAACAAGATACCTTAATTCCGTTTTCATTCTTTGACACTTCGCTGAGAACGCGAGAGGTTTGATACAAAAAGGAACTTTGCTGATCACACTGGCCGCGCGGTCTAAGGTATGAACTGTCTTCGCTCGCCCAAACACTGGGATCGTTGATTCGAATCCCACTCAAAGCATGGAGGTCTGTGTGCGTTTATTCTGTGTTTGTGTTGTTCTGTATATAGGTAGCGGCCTTGCGACGGGCTGATCCCCCGTCCAAGGAGCCCTACCAACTGTGTGTAGGATTAAGAAACTGTAAAATCGGACAAGGTTCAACAAAGGGCTGTAGGGCCAGAGATAGGTAGGTAGGTAGATAGATAGATAAAAATGAACTAAACGCGTGATAGTTTTGTTTGTGTTGATGGGTTAGCACACGTTGCTAGGCATCCGGGAGTAAGTTTAGTCAGACGCATGTGTGTTCAATGAATTCAAAAGTAAGAGCGTTATAGGATCTTCCACGAACAGATGTTAGTTAGTTGGCTGGGCAAAAAGTTCACTGATATTTTGCAGTCCCAAAGATTTATTACAGTGAAGCCGCCACTGAACCTAAGCTCACTCGAATCCTCACACCCCGTTTCTCTAAATATTCGTTTTAAAATACCAATTGAACACATGTGGTTCTACCTATGACTCCAAGAGATATGAGGTTACCTAATTAGGCCAATAATTATATTATTTTATGGATTAGAGCCTTCTTTCATGAGCCGATATCCGCTCACATTGCTAAATTTTTACACTGTGTTGGACATAGCAAGTTGGTTCTCCCGACAACAATTGCAATTTTTATTCTGGAGGTGCCAGGTTCGAACGTCGGTAGGGACACAAGCAATCTTTTCCTCAAATTAGGCCATGATCGCTTCGCCTACATAATTTCGAGTTCACTCTTCATTATCACCTTATCGTCTGAACTACTGACAGCGTCGTTAAACAAACCACAATACACCATGTTTAAAAGAGCACGTAATGACAACAAACACAAATGTACGCTTTCGTAGAAGAGCCCGTTATGTAAAAGCTCACCTTTGCACACGATCTCCGGTTATGACAACATAAGAACCGTCTTAATGGAATCTTTCAATCTCCTAACATTTCCCCACAAAATTCTGCATCTTTTGCCACCCAAGCCACATGTCCGGCCCACGGTAGCCGCATACATTTCACTGCCCTTGCAGTACCAGATGGCCTACAATTTACAGATCATGAAGTCCCTCGTCATGCGATTTCCCAAATTACATACGTCATCATCCTAAGGTGCAAGTTCTTCCCTGAGCAAGGTGTTTCTGCTGTAGACACACGCTTCATCCCTACACAAAAATACTGGTGAATTGTTTTGTTTGCTTATTTTTTTTTTTTTGTGGTTAATTTAACATTGCCGGTCACAGTAGCCGCGCGGTCTAAGGCATGAAATGTCTTCGCCCACTCAGACGCTGGGATCGTGGGTTCGAATCCCACTCAAGACATGGAAGTTTGGTGTGTGTATGCGTTTATTCTGTGTTCGTGCTGTTCTGTGTTTAGGTAGCGGCCTTGCGACGAGCTGATCACTCGCCCAAGGAGTCCTACCGTCTGTGAAAAATGATTACGGAACTGAATAAGAGGTCTGGGCCCTGAAAGGGCTGGAAGAGCCATTGAAAAAAAAAAAACATTGCCGTCAATAAGTCAGACTAAATCGCATCAAATGGTGAGATGATTTTGAAATGAAACGTACATGGCCTAATTTTAGATATTGCCACGTCTATGAGTGGCTATAGACGGGGTTTGGATTGGATTCCTCGTAGTATGCAATTCACCAATCATCATTAACATCCGATGCTGTACAATCTCGAGACTGAAAGACAATTACTTAAAAACTTGTAAAAATACCAGAAAATTTTAAGGGCATAAGAGGCGATGGTGTCTGTTAGTGCTTGTGTGCAGCGAAAGCTGTTTGCTGGGCTTGTAATTGTCATNCGGGCAACGGCAGGGGGGGGGGGGACGATCAATATCGCACCAGCAGAGGCGGCATCTCCTGGGCGGGAAGCCCTCCCGCCAAATTACAGAGCATGCGCAGAACTTGGGATATCGGATGAGTCGCACACCGACACGAGCCGTTTGCCGGGCTCAACAAAATTTCACCTCACGGATCCAATTATACCCCTTCTTTGTTACTGGGCATTCTGAGCTCACGAGGCATGACGTAAACTCGTTTCTTCTCCGAGATACCGAAACATTATCAAATAAATTAGTATCGAAGTTCACATTAAGAGTTGTGGGACAGGTTTAATTTATTTCTTCTCGGTCAAATTCAGTGTCAGCTTTATGCCTGGACAAAGCTAAAATTAAAAACTTCACAGATTTTGTATTAAAAAGCAGCTCTTCGTATGAAAAAGAAAATTACATGAAAACTGGAGCCGTTCAGATGTACAATATTTATTTGAAATATTTTTCTGCAATATACTCGTATACAACGAATGAACACAAACGGTAACGATTTGTGCAAAACAGCAAAGGCATTAGGAACATAATGTATAACTTTTATGGCATGTATCCTATTATCTGTTATTTATGAAAATATATAATTTGAGAGTCACACAACAAATAATAAAAAGGAAACAAAAGATACACTACTGTGTCAAATTTATTTTTCATTCGTTGTTGGCGGTGTCGTTACATGTTTCGACACTTTTCCTGGGTCTTTTTCAGGCGTACACGCATACTATTTAGCTTCTGAATTGCGTCATTAATCAATATGAATTCATATTGTGTCCATACAATTATTCTACATGGATAATTATATCTTAATTTTAAAATATTTGAACCACATTTTAAAATTAAGATATAATTGTCAGTGTAGAATAATCATACAGACAGTAATAAATATCCGGTCATAAGTCCGAGATAGGGTTCGACACCAAGACTGACTGACTGAGAGTCGCAATGTGACTTTGACTTTTACTAAGAGAGAGTCTTGAGACAGCAATGAGAGGAGTAGGAGGTTGGTGTGAGGTGGGAGCCAGCCTGGGAGTAGCTTGTGAGACAGTCGCCGGCCAGTATGGAAAATGAACACGGAACTGAGGAAGCTACGGCGTTGGAAGCCGTTACCAGGCGACAACCCGTGAAGATACAGCAGACTGAGAAGACTTCGTAAGCGCTGTAGTGAATTGCAGAGTGTGAATTAGAAATCGTGCTATTGTTACTTGTAGTTATGAGTTGTGTGCATTGTGCAGTGAATGCGATTACCAACACAAACCCCGTCTATAGTCACTCAATTACGAGACTATATATAGTGAAGAGAATGACCACGATTCAGGGAGATCCTCATTAGGAAATTGTCTTCATCGTCCTGTTACGTTCTGTTCCTCTCAAAGGAATGTGGTCATTAAGAGATAAATATAATTAATTAATTGATCACTGATCTGCTATTGTTCAACTAAACCAGTATTTAATTGTAAGATTTCAGGTTTTCACGGCGGTGACTATGAAGAATGCCGTTTTCTGGGATGTGACGCCGTGTAGATCTTGAGCGAACTGATGTTCTTTTCATTGTTTAATTGATAACTGAACACTTTCGTCTGGAGGCAGCGCTCTAGATTTGTATTCTGCAGATGATCGGTTCCTGACTAACTCTGGGTTTTCGTGGGCTTCCTCAGCCCCTTTAAGACAGTACTGGGTTAGTACCTCGACTAGGCTATGACCGCTTCTTCCAAATGCTTTCTAACCATCAGCCAACGCACCATCCGACGCTGTACAATCTTCATATTGAAAGGGTCGTTAAGAAACCTACAAAAAATTAACTGATCAATTAATCGTCCGTTAAACATACACCTTCACGAATAATAGTACAGGCAATAGTTCTGCTGTTTTCAAGTCCTAAATAATCAATACGGTGTAGCCTATAGGCCTAAGTATGAAATTGGAGAAGTCCATTATGTGCTGTTTTCCGTCATATAAGCCCTGTCAATTTGTTTCCCCTTGGCACTACAGCCCCAGTGGGCCTAGCCCTACCTCCATGAACTCCGTTCACTTCGGTTTTTCTAGATCTTACACATATGGTAGGACTCCTTGGGCGGGTGATCAGCTCGTCGCAAGGCCTCTACCTGTAGACAAACACAGAAAAACGCACACAAACATCCATTCCCTGAGTGGGATTCGAACCCACGATCTCGGCTTCCGAGCGAGCGAAGACAGTACATGCGTTAGACCGCTCGGCTACCGTGACCGGCAGTGTATAAGAATAATATATAAGAATTCAGTTCGTACCTCACAGGAAACATTCGAACCCACGATCCCGGCTTCCGAGCGAGCGAAAACAGTACATGCCTTAGACCGCTCGGCTACCGTGACCGGCAGTGTATAAGAATAATATATAAGAATTCAGTTCGTACCTCACAGGAAACATTCGAACCCACGATCCCGGCTTCCGAGCAAGCGAAAACAGTACATGCCTTAGACCGCTCGGCTACCGTGACCGGCAAGCCCTGTCAATTACATCAAAGAATTGATACCGAAACCTCGGCGGAAATATAAACTAGTCCTGATCGGAACTGTGAGCAGCACGTAACAATCTTCTATGAACTGGCTAAAGAGCTTTGTGACCCAAATGTATATTTACCCAACAGTAAAAGCCCATAAAACCTTCGTTCAGGAAAACATTAGGTAGAATGCCCATTGTACCAAATTCCTTATAATACAATAATCTCTATAGAATCCGTACTAGGGGATTCATGGCCAAAATATGGATGCTAAAAAACACCATAATGAAAGTGGGTGAGTTCAATACATTACCATGTTTAAAAAGGCAGAAGCCCTTGGTATCTGGATACCTGTGCTATTCCTTCATAGGATTAGCTCTCAACTTCTATAGGATTACC